GATCATCCATCTCCAATATATGTTGAAATAAAGAATCATTTTATGGATTCATTCTACAAGGTCAACCTGCATAATGGAGCAAAACAACCAATTGAATCAAGCATGAGATCACTTATAATTTAGGAATGCAGAAGCTCAAAAGATCTAATGTAAATATAATTTATACAATAGCACCTATTCTAGAACTAGAACACAATAATGGAATAGAGAAGACTTCTGCATATTGATGCCAAACTGCAGTAGATAGTATATATTCAACAGCAAGTAGAATTTAGTCAAAAGCCAATGACATGTTACGTTCTAAACGCCAGCTGCATTGAAGTGCCATTAATAAAAAAAAGGATCATGAGTCCAGTAAAAGAATATAGCCCTACACTCATTCACAAAAAAGTGATTCAATTATTATGTTGAGTATTTCGCTGGGCATAGTAAGTGGCTAAGTGCACAGTTATGACAACCAAAATCGACTCATCAACCATGCAGCTACACTAACAACACAGACTGTAATACTGTATACATATATTTCTTGACCAGAGAAGAATCCAACCACTAGCCCAGCTGAAAGATATAATCTCCACATTATCATGGTTGAATAGCGCACGCACGCTTAGGTGCTTATAGGTTATAACCATTTCCATTACCTTTCCTAGAAATATCACATCAACAGCTATATTGTACAGATACATCATATATCCTTGTTCACACATAAGCAATTGCTATCCATGCTTTTTCGCATGGTAGAAACACCCTTATTGAAATTTGTGCCAAAACAAGTTAATGTAAAACATCTTCTTGGTTTTGGCTTCTTGCTATGGACAGGGGCAGACCAAGGGGGTGCCGGGTAGGGAAAACAAATGAAATTTTCCTAGGATCAGCTCGCATTCAGTGGTTGCAACTTCCTGTTTTTCTTCATAAAATATATGGAAATGCTGAATCTTTTGTTTAAGAACAATATTTGAAATCCTTATTTGCATTTTTGCGTACTAATTGCATAATGATAACTTGCCATGCATAGTTTGATGACAGTGATGCACTTTATTTAAGTTGTGTTCTGCGTGAGACTTGCATGCACACACAACATAATTTTCTTGGGTCCACCACTGTATGGATTACTGGTTCTTGTATTTGACTTGTACAATATGAACAACAGATTTGTTTCTTATTTTTGTAATAAAAACTTGGATTCCTACACTTTGGTACTAAAAAGTAACAACGGCACGATACTTACACTGTATAAGTTTAAATAGTTTGTTACAAAGGAGTGGAACAATAAAAAAGTTGTTCTGAGCTCAAACTTCAAACATACTTACACAGAGTGACAAACATCATTGAGAACAGTCTTTCACCAAAAAGCAATATAGTATATGCAGCATGATATGATGATAGGGTGAGCTGTGGAAACAAGCCGATAAGTATACTAAGCACACTATTAACACCATTTCAACGATTCAAATTATCACTTAAACAAGAACATGATATGACATATCTACAGCAGTTCCATGTCAACAATAACCACAGCGGGATCCACTAGCCTGAATTTCAAAGTTTCCAGTCTCCCTTCAATCTAAGATTTTCAAGGCAATCACTATCAAACACCAGACTCCAGTCACTGTCAAACTCCACACTAACTTCCATTTCAAACAAAAGGATAAGAAAGAGACATAAAAGGTGAAGATCTGATCACACTTCAATGTTTGACGAACATGTACACTAATCCAATGTTTGAAAATTGGTATCAAGCCCCTTGGCGCCAAAACTCTAAATCCAAGTTCCAGCCATTAATCATATTAATCATAGTACCTATCACCCCAACATTCGGTGGAAGAGGCCATATAGCAAATGTTAAAATGCCACCATAGCCTTTATGAACAGGTCAAAACTCAAAACTAACTAGTTTCGTCTCAAATAGACCAATTAGGCTGGTGACATACGCTAAGCAATGATGTAACAGACGGGCCATGACCAATGAAATCCATCAATAAACTAGAGCCAGTCTCCTCCTTATAATATTAAATCCAGCAAAGCTGGGTGTTCTCGGAGGAAAAAAAAATTAACCTAGAAGTCAGCCACTCGACTGCCGCCCGCCGCAACCTAAAACCCCTAACCCGATCGAGGGGTTGACCAACTAGCGTTGACGCCCTCGCAAAGCATGGCCACCCCATCCGCGCCCTCGCCCTGCCCTAATCCAAGCAAACCCTCCGTCGACGCGACGCGACGTCGAACCCTCGCCCCCCCACGTTGACCAACGCCCCCCGCGGACGCGCCATCGCCACCATTCCTCCTCCTTCCCCACGCCCCAACCGCGGCGGTGCCCCCCCGGATCGGGGCCCCCACGCTGCGAGCGCAAGCAGAGACCAGCATTCGACAGGACGCGAAGAGAGAGATGAAGAGAACGAGAGGGCGAGGCGGCGGCTGACCTGGGTGGCGCGGAGACGAGAGGGGGGGGCCTCCCGCGTCTCCCCTCCGATAGCAACCTGCGCGCGGCGGCGGCGGCGGAGGAGGAGGAGGAGGAGGAGGAGGCGGGCGGTGGGAGGAGGAAGGAGAAGGGGGATCTCGTCTCGTGGCGTGATTAATTAGTGCAGGTGGGGGGAGGAGGAGGGGAGAGGAGGGGAGAGAGTGAGGAGGGAGGAGGAGGAGAGGGGAGACGAGGGGATTAAATTGGATTAAGCGGTTTTAATTAGGGATTTCGTTTCGCTCACGAGGCGCGCGAGATGCGAGAGAGCGACCAGGGCAAACGGATTGGAACGGGCGAATCGGTGGGCACGGATGGGAGAGGGTGACAGGTGGGGCCCGCACGTCGGGGGGAGGGATTTGAGACCGTGGGCCGCCGCCGCGTGTGAGTTCGTTGTGAGGAGGAAGACAATGCCTAAATGGGCCTGAATGTGTGTGCTTTCATCTGTTGCTATAAGTCTATTCTGCCTTCCTCATCTCTTGATCTTTGATTGAATTGCCTCCCTCAAACATAAAACCGAGTGTGACGTCCATCTTTGGTTCAGGAAGCAGTTTTTGTTGACGTGGTAAGTTGACCGTGGTTAACTTGCTAAGTTAGGGATTGGAGGAAGGAATTCTTCTCTCCTCTTCTGTTCTTCGCTCCTCTTCTTCCTCACACAAATGCAACAAGGCGGAGCCCTCCGTAGCTAAACGAGTGCCACGGTGATGGTGGGCAGGGGGGAATGGTCATTGCGGGGCCGGCAAACTGGCAATAGAAAGGAGGCACACGCAGGCGCTTGCGATGGAGGTCCATGGCTTGGGTGAAGGCAGCTTCCTTCGGGTCGGAGGAGGCGACGGCTCTCCAGTGTGTTTTGTTAGCGAGCAAAGGCTCTCCAATGTGGTTTGGGGACGAGTAAGCGTGACTAAATCAAGCCTGTGGTCGTGGGAGCTACGGTAGGTGAGGGAGATGCTAGTGTCGATGATAATGATGACAAGATTGGCACCAAAGTTGGAGTCTACGAGGAGTGCTGACGACGGGGAGGACAACAGCCTAAGGAGCCACAATGAGCGGGTGGTGGCGAGATGCCGAACTCACTCTAGCACCACTGTCGCCACCACGGGAGCCTCCGCCAGCTGATGGTGGTGGCATGCAACCAGCAACATTCGTGCGAAAAAGCCGTGAGAAACGGTGGAGTAGATACATGTGGATCAGTGGGCCGCCCTCACGCCACTCCCCTCCTCCACCCCCAACCCCCCCACACCCGACGTCACCGTCACTATCGCCTCGTACAAGAGTGCGTGGGTTGGGAATGCATCCATATCCACCTGCACGATGAACATCCTCTCTCATCCTCTGTTACCATTACCGAGACACCTCTGACAGCCACATCCAACAACCACCACAACTAGCAAGAGGGGGCGAGATGCCAACGGCGCCATAGCAAAATATCGGATCCATAGTGATGAGGAGATAAGTGGATGGAGCTGTGGGGTGGGTTGGAGTGGGGCTGAGGGGAAAGCACAAAGCAAATAGCGGCTCAGGTAAAGAAGAGGCGGATATGGGGGGGGCGGGTGGTGAGAGGAGAGGGGACGGCGGTAGTGACGCGACGTGGTCTTGGCCAGTGGCTACAGGACGGATGGACAGTGAGAGAGGTGAAAGAAGGAAGAGAGGAAAGAGAAAGAGAGAGGGAAGAGGTGAGAAAGAATATGAGATGAGGAGGAAGTCACTGATATATGGGTCCCACCTGCTGACTCAGCAAAGTCAGCCATATTTAACTGGTCATGCCAACAAAAAACAACTTTCTCAGCCACCAAAGAAGTCTAATTGCAGCAACTTTCGAAGATGGGAATGCATTATACCCTGTTTATGGTTGAGGGATGATCACTACAACAAATCTGGGCTTCTGTGACGATTACCTGATGACAGAACACATATATGTTATAAACAGAGGCTGTTTATGACGATTGTTCACAGGATGACAACTATTTATGACCAAACCGTGTCTATGTCATAATCATCGTCACAATATACTGTATGGGCTCTGTGACGATAGCACGATGACAATAGTATATCGTCATAAAATATAGAACTATTATATTTTTTTAAAAACAAAAAAAATCTTGTTATACTACATTGCTACTAGACCACAAATCGTTTGTCCTAGGTGGACTCTTCTTCTCTATATCAATTCTAGTCTCTCATTTTAGGATTTTAGATTGAAGTCATCTTAAAAAATCAGAAATATGGCGTTTAATTTTATGATTGAATGAAAAAACTTAAAAAAAAAACTAAAATGGCTATAAGTTGGTTTGAACCTGCATTACATGGGCCTTACCTTTGACTGTTTTGAACCCATGAACAAGTGCTGCACCAGAATTATATAGGATAAAAAGGGGGGAAAACATAAAAAAGAAGCAAGCTTTGGGTTCGAACCCATGACTTAATTCTAGAGGAGTTTTACATCCACTTCGATAACCAGTCGAGACAATTGTTTTTTGTGACCTAGGATTGTTATTTTATATTTGTAGATTGTGTGTGGATGAAGAGAAAAAAAAGAGATTGCAAATTGGCGTCGCCCTTGCCCGTGGCCGCACACCACACCATAGCCGGCAGCAGCAAAGCAGAGCGCGCCGAGGCCAGCTCCCTGGTCGAGGCGCCGGAGCGCCGCCCTCCGCTAGCTTCTAGCCCGTGGTCTCCGCCAGCTGCTAGCCCTCCGCTCACTACTCGTCGGTCGGCGCTACCCCGTGGCCACGCTTTCGGCCGCTGCCCACTAGGCCAGATCCAGCGCGTCGCGTGCTCGGCGCGATGGCCAGCAACCGCGACAACCTCCCGAGCTGTAGGAGCACAGAGCCGGCCTGCCGGCGAGCCTGACTGCTCCAGTTCTCTCCGAAGGCTGACTTCGATTTGATTTCTTCGACTTCAGAGGTAATCAAAATTCAATGCTATGTTCTGTAGTGAGTCATGGTCAGTGATAGAAAGCTAGAAGGAATAGCAGTTTGTTATGATGATTGGTTAGTTCTTGATTCCTTGATTATTGCCTTATTTCAGTGTGTCGCAGATGGACAGAAGTTGGGTGAATACTAGGCTATTTAGCAAGGAACATCTAGAAGGGTCACTGAGTTCATGAACTTTGTTTCTGCTAATTTGGATGATAGTCAGGAGATATTATGTCCATGTCGTAAGTGTTTGAATCGGTTACATCAACATAAAGGAGAAGTTGAGACTCACTTATATATTTATGGGATGACTAGCACGTACACTAATTGGATACATCATGGAGAAGCATTGGATGATATAATTGGCTGCAGTGTTGAAGCTGGTGATATTGGCTGCAATGTTGAAACTGAGATGAATGAGCCTAAAGATGACCCAGATGATGATCGAATCCATGAGATGGTACATGAGTTGTACACAGCCGAAGACCATGAACCAGCAACAAAGTCCAAGTTTGCAACCATATTAGAAGAGATGAAACAGCAACTACACCCTAATGGTCCCTATACCAGATTTTCTTTTGTGGTGAAGTTGCTACACATCAAGTAATTTTATAGAATAAGCAATGTTGCGTTCGATGCTTTTTTGAAGTTGTTAAGTGTACAATTCCCAAAATGTTCTATTCCTGCATCTTATGCTGAAGCGAAGAAAGTTATTCGTGCATTGGGACTTGGATATGATTCAATACATGTTTGTCCGAATAACTGTGTTTTGGTTAGAAAGGAGTTGGCTAAAATGGATAATTGCCCAGTATGTGGTGCTTCAAGATGGAAGGATGAAGATACAAGAAAGCAAATTCCAAACAAGGTTTTGAGGCATTTTCCTGTGGTTCCAAGGTTGCAAAGGATGTTTGCATCCAAAAAGCTTTCAGAGCAGGCACAATGGCACAAGTTGAAGAGAAAACCAGTGCACAATGAACTTAGCCATCCAGCTGATGGCGAGGCATGGAAGGATTTTGATAGGAAATATGACTGGTTTGCAAAAGATGCAAGGAATGTCCAACTTGACCTCGCTACTGATGGGTTTAATCCATTTGGGAAGATGAGCGCCTCGTTCAGCATGTGGCCAGTATTCCTTATTCCTTATAATTTTCCTCCATGGGAATGTATGGAGCAATCCAACTTCATGATGGGCCTACTCATTCCTGGTCCGACAAGCCCAGGAAAGGATATGGATCTCTTCTTGCAACCCCTGATTGATGAGTTGTTAGATCTTTGGAAAGGTGTCCCTACCTATGATGCTCTGACTAAGAAATCATTTGATCTTCATGCTACAGTTATATGGTGCATTCATGACTATCCAGCACTGAGCACACTTTCAGGCAGAGTTACTACAGGTTACTATGCCTGTGTTCGTTGTGACAAAAATCCTTGCTCTAGAAGATTAAGGAACAAGATTTGTTATATTGGCCATCGACGTTTTCTCCCACGGGACCATGTTTGGAGGACAAAATTTTTTTTCGATGGACAGACCGAAGAACGTGAGCAGCCTGAGGAATTTACTATGGATGAGCTGAATGAGCAATTGGCGAGGGTTTCACATGTTAAACCTGGGAACCATCCTGATAACAAAAAGAGAAAGAGACAAGAAGAAGGTCAATGCTGGAAGCGAAGGGCGAGTTTGTGGGATTTGCCATATTGGTCAAATTTGAAGTTACGTCACAATCTTGATGTAATGCATATCGAGAAAAATATATGTGAGGCCCTTCTCGGGACATTTCTCGACATTACAGGGAAGTCAAAGGACTCAATTAATGCAAGGCTTGATTTGGAAGATATGGGTGTGAGGAAAAATTTACACTTGAAGCCTGATGGGAATTCGTACACTCTCCCACACGCTTCATATACGATGACTAAAACCCAGAAGCTTGCTTTTTGTGCTTTTATAAAGAATGTGAAATTCCCAGATGGATATGCCTCCAGCCTATCAAGGTGTATTTCTGCTGATGAATGCAAAGTACAGGCATTGAAAACGCATGATTATCATATCCTTCTGCAGAGGATATTGCCTGTAAGCCTCCGAGGAATCCTGGATAAGGAAATTTATGAAGCAATTGCTGAATTAGGTAACTTTTTTCAGCAAATATGTGCTAAGACATTGAAGGTAGATGTCTTGAACAAAATGAGAAGTGAAATCCCAATAATATTGTGCAAGCTTGAGAAAATTTTTCCACCTTTTTTTTGATGTCATGGTACACTTTTCCATTCATTTAATCGATGACGCAATCCTTAGGGGTCCGGTTCAGTATGGATGGATGTACCCAGTTGAGCGTAGGTTGCTTACTTTGAAGCGTTTTGTGAGGAACATGGCAAGACCCGAGGGGTCCATTGCAGAGGCATATGTCGCAAACGAGTGCTTGAATGCTTGCTCTAGGTATTTTGATGATGTTGACACACGACACAATTGTGAGGGCAGGAATAGAGAGCGTGTAGTTTTGAGAGAAGGTGGCTTATCTATTTTCCAGCATGGAGTCACTCTTCTTGGTGCATCGAGGATGACGTACAATGAGAAGGATTATGACAAGATGCTTTGGTATATCCTCAACAATACTCCGGAGGTCGAGCCATTTATAGAGTATGTCTTTTATTGGAGCAATCAATTTTTTCCCTATGCTGTAATTTTTTACACCTCACATGACAGTGCGCAATACTTGCAGGATATGCAGGACAGAGTTGGAGAGTGCTGGCAATGTTGATGTTGATAGGGCTCTTGCTAAGGAATTTGCAGGATGGTTTAATAAACACGTAAGTCATTTAGCTCCTAGTTGAATTTATTGGTCATTTTGCAGGATACAGGACTGTTTGCAATCAGTTTTGGTTCTGACCTTATTCTCTGAATTTTTTTCTCTGAATATATTGGTACAGCTTGCAACCAGAAAATTTGTGCATGGAGAAGAAGTCAATGAAGACCTATATGCATTGGCAAGTGAACCACATCTTAGAGTTCATTTATTTTCAGGATGTCTTGTTAATGGTGTTCGCTATCACACCTTGGACCGTGAGAGAAGTAGAAAAACACAAAACAGTGGTGTCATGGTTGAGGGCTCACATAATGGAGGAGATATAGACTTGTATGGTCAGTTGAAAGAAATAATTCAGTTGCAGTACAACTCTGATTCGAACAGTCAAAGGACAGTAGTTTTATTTCAGTGTAATTGGTTTGACACTTGTAGCAAGAAGTCTAGGATTAAAGATGATGGCCATTTCAAAAGTGTCAGCCATGGCAGTTGCTGGTACAAGGATGATCCTTTCATCTTTGCCACACAAGCAACAAAGGTTTTCTACTTAGAAGATAACAAGCATGGTGAGCCTTGGAAAGTTGTTCAAAAATTTTCCCATAGGCACTTGTGGAATGTGCCCGAAGAAGAAAATGATGACCTGCCGGCCCAGGCAGAGCATGAATTGTCATACCAAGATGATGAGCAAGAAAATACTAGTTTTCAGGTTGCAGATCTTGAGAGAGCTTCAATCAACGAGCAGCCTAGCAATTATGAAGATGGTATTTGTGTTCAGGCTTCCCTAGTTGATCAGATCCAGAGGGAAAGGGAATTGGAAGTTGAAGAAAATGGCTTTGAAGATGATGCTGACGAAACTGTGAGACAATATGACAGTGAAAATGAAGGGCCAATCCATGATGATGGTGAATATAGTGATTTTGAGTAAAATATCTGTGTATGGCTAAGTCCCACCATAACCTGCTGTTAGAACATGGCTGTCAGTTTAAATTGTGATCTGAGGATTTGATTGTTGTGTATGATGTTGTTTGAATATTTGATGTTTGTGTTTTTGTGCATTTGTTCTTTTCTGAAGTATATGTATGAGGGGACTCCTTTGAATATATCTGCTGACAGCAATTTTTAAGTGGAGAGGAAATTCAGATTAAAAGAGAGCAGCAATATGATTTTCAACAAATGTACATGAGATCACACATTTGCTGACAAGTCATACATATATTATAGATATATAATGCATCAGCATCCAGAACACCAGGTACCATAACTGACCATTAAGGTCCAAATTAGCATATACTCCCTCCGTTTCGAAATGTTTGACACCGTTGACTTTTTAGCACATGTTTGACCGTTCGTCTTATTCAAAAACTTTTATGAAATATGTAAAATTATATGCCTACATAAAAATATATTTAACAATAAATCAAATGATAGGAAAAGAATTAATAATTACTTAAATTTTTTGAGCTCCTGGCGCGCCCCTTCCTTCGCCGATGTCGAGGCACCACGCACCCCTCCCAGAGAGACGCGACCGCTGAACTTGCCAGTAGCGTCGCGCAACTGTCGGCGCGCTTGAATCGATTTCTTTGAGGGAGCCATGCCACCCCAGATGTGGATGCGAAAGGAGGCGGAAGATGAGAGGACGAGTGGGGGATGCGAGGAGACGGCGTATGCAAGGACGGGTGGGGGATGCGCGGAGGTGGCCGATCACTATGGATGGGGCTTTCTCGCGTGCCCCACTGCCTCGCTGCCCTTCTCCATTGCCGCACCGCCCGTCGTGGCCGCGCCAACCGCTGGCCCCACCTCCTCTGCCCCCGTCACCTTCCGCAGTCGCCGCGCCGACTGTCGCCTCGACCCACCGGCTCTCCGTCCGCTTGGGCACGTGCGTGAGGAAACAGAAAGAGGAATCGAGAAGGAGGAATAAAACAAACCCGATACATACGTATTAATTTCGTGATTTCCATATAATCAAAACAAACCCGATACGTCGCTGATACGTCTGATGCCCACCACCAACCAAATCCCCTTCGAAGCGCAGGGCTGCCACCGCCAGACACATCACCTTCCCCATCGACCGTCGTGCATCGTGCCCCGTCTGGCTACCAGGGCCAGAGCCGTCTTTCTTGTGCTAGCTCGAGGCACAACATCCCCACATGATTGGTGCAGGATCGTAGCGCCGCCGCCACCGACGCCGATGAACATAGAAGGTCGGAGTAGTAGGCAAATACAATTTCTTAGCGCTGCTACCGCCGACGCCAATGAATGCTGCAGTGAGAAAGTTACACCTGTTTTAAGAAATGGCACTCGAATGTAAAAAAAGAAAACTCAAACCCTAACTTTTTTTATTTTGAGGATGTAACATATGTAAAAAAAAGCTCAAGAATTATAGTTGATTTTATATTGGAGATTTGTTAACACAAGATCTTATAAACTTTTATAAGATTAGCTATAATCTTATCCAACAAAATTATGTGCTGCAATCAAAGAGGCCAAATTTTCACATCCCGTGTGCGCCTCCGTTACCGCGAAATCAAAATGCCTGCCCCGCCACTTTTTTTGATGCTAAAAGTCATTTATGCCCATACCAGCTATTGAACTGGCATACCCAAATGAGGTCAATTTAGGACTTTTACTCACTCGAGTGTGACACATATATAGGTGAAGCTGAAGCTAACCCTAGAATCATTCCCACTCCCTCCATCTGCACAGCCGCCGGGCAAGAACAACCTTCTTGCAGATCTTGCTCGGCTTCCAAACCGGCCACCCCTTTGCTTCCCTCCCAGGAGCAAGACGATGGCGCCTGGGAGGAAGATGCTCGGCGGCAAGAACAAGCCTCCCCACCCTCCTTCTGTCCTTCCAGATCCTGCGGCAACCCCTTGCCTCCCTCCTAGGAGCAAGACAATGGTGCTTGGTGGCAACAGCACACATTCCCGCCATCCTTCGGTCCTTCCAGATGAAGCGGCCGCCATGGAGATGCTAGGTACTTCTCAGCTCATCCTCCTTAGGGTTTCGAGGCTTGGATTGGGCGGCCCTGGATTGGGAGGTGGGCGCTGGGAGATGAGTCTGTGCGTGGGGTGATTTTCGGTTTCTCGATTTAAAATTTTCCAAATTGTCAATCTGGTGGTGTAGGGGGACTATAGGTTTCTAACTAATTTCATACCCACTAAATATAATTGCAATGTATGTGCAGAAGAGGAAGACATGGACTTAAGCACGTCGAGGGCTTGGAATATCATGAGGAACAATCGATTTGCTAATCAGCTGGGTATCCGTAAACTAGCACAAATATTCCAGAGTTCAGTTGCAAAGAAGAAAGCTGTTGGCAAAAAGTCAAAGGTACCAACTCTAGTACTAAACTCTTCTACTAATCAATATCTCTAATTGACTGAGCTATGCGTGTTTAGTGAGATTCAATACATGTATGATGTAGTTTAGATGCCACTTATATTTTGCATATGAATTCTTTGATCTACTTGGTTAAACATGTTGAACAATTGCAGTATTGCTTAAGTGCCAATAGCTGGTTCATAGCACTGAATCCAAACTTAATGGTTGGTCATAGAGTATGAAAAATATGATTAATCTGTCGGGAGAGTACTCTATCCCTTACGTGTACAGTTGGTACAAATATATTGTTAGTTAGCCCCTGCCTTATATGGACTCCGGCATAGTTAGGCAATTTTTTTGGAAACTATTGTCAAAGACGTAAGATTAGGTCTTAGATATGTTGAGTTTGCATTCTGAATTTTACATTTATATTGATATTCTGTGACATATTTATTCGCAGTGGATATTTAAGGAAGTTTTTCATGACTTTGTTTCTGCAACTTATTTGTACATGTCTTTGTTTGCTTTGTGAGGCTTTGTTACTAGGGGAAGATGTGGCCATCACTGGTGATTGTGTCACAACTGGAACAGGAAGAGCATCTAAGAGAGTGCTAGCACTTGAAAATCTAGAAGAAACAATGAGATGCACTAGGCAAAGGGCTATGAAACAAGTGTCCACCACTAGCCTGATTGAAGCCACAGAGGTTGGACTCGAACCTGATTTGTCTGCAAACCAGAATCAGGGTGACACCAACAATACTGGACAAGGCAAGTGGCTACCCTACTGTTATTTTATTGTCAATATGTGTGGTATGCTGCACTCATATTAAGTGAAGGGATCTTCTTATTAACATATGTTTAATAATGTATTTTGTTAGGCAACCTCACTTTAAGTACAGAACTAGAGCCAATGGGATTGAGCACTACTCAACAAGGCAAGTAACTTGGATTCTTGTTCTTTTGTCCTTATATGTGCTATGCTTCATTCATATCAAGTGCAGGATCTTTTTATTGACACTTGTAAATGTTTTATGTTAGGCACCCTCACTAGCAGTATACAAGTGGAGACAAGGGGGAAGAGCATGGGCAAAGAGATTGATTCCATAAGCAAAGGTTTAGGGACCATGATACCAATCATTGTCAAGGAAGGGAAAAAAAGGCCAGAGGCTCCTATGCAAACTGCAAAGCTGGCCTCAGAGAGTGGGATCATAATCAGGCAGCATATACCAATATATCCAAGTTGGACAGACTACAAGAATGATAGTAGTCAACTTGATAACTTAAAGGGCAAACTGAAGGTAAGGCTCTGTTCCACTAATTGAATCAATGCTACTGTATGTGCTGCCAGCATTATATAAGTAAAAATAGATGCACATTTAAATAAAACTAGATGCCCAAGGTGCAACTAGGTGCACCTTTAAGAAATAATACATTAGCCATATCGAACATTACATATAATTATTGTAGTTCCTTTCTACTTTCTACTTTTGTTGAAGCTTAATGTTATGCTATTTGATGAGTAGGGAAAATTCTCCATTGATATCCACAGCGATCCTGTAATAGCTGCAATGGAAGACATCCTAAGGTGTGGAACACGCCATATGAGGTATAGGCTCAAAAAGAAGTACTTTGATGGGGTACCTGCTAATCAAGTGAGGACTACATCGCCCTTGAAGTGTATGACCGATGAGCAATGGACAAAATTGGTAGATATGTGGTCAAGCCCAGAGCACAAGGTACTGTTTAGCAGATTTCATTTTGTGTGAGCTTATTACTTGGATTCGAGCACAAAGTCATGTTTGGCTGGATATACACATATTGGATATGAGGTACATTTGAGATCTTTTGAATCTGTCAGTAGGAATTGGAACATGCCAGCTACATCTGATAATTCTAGATTTATTATAGTAGTTTTCAGATTGACTATAAGATAATTCATGTAATCTTCCTGAGTTTTTTAAACCACATAGCTTCCTAAGATACATCAACATAAATTTGATAGTCAGGTGGCAAAATAATTATTCCATAGTCCAGTTTATAGCTCTGTTTGGATCAGCTCTATTTGCATTTTTAATGTAATAGTGACTTGCGAAAACAAATGAAAATGATGTTGCATGGAAATGACAGATGCATAGTGGTTCTATTACTAATGCTATGTAATTGTGTCATGTGCAGGACAAATGTGCCAAAACCAACTGAATCGTGAAAAAGTTCAGTTTCAACAGCGTACCGGATCTCGGTCTTACATTGCACATGCCTATGTCGTGGTAAGAAAAAAAATGATGATGTCATCTAGTTGGATGTAGTTTTTGTGTTTCCTGATGGAGGTGTTCAGATCCAGTGGAGATATATATCTGCATATTGATAGTGGCTCTGCATAATGCTATATGATTTAAAGCTTTAGTAGGGAGAGTAGCATATTATCTCACACTTTGACCACGTAAAAATATGCTCATGTTTTATCCATAAATCTGTATCAATTTGGTTTGATTGCTCTTGTCATGCTTATACTTATTTGGGGTGACATCAATTAAGTTTATACATGGCAACCACTGTCAATGTTTAACAAAAAGACTCAATGTCAACTGGAATGCTTGTTCTGGAGGACATGTTTTTGTGTTATCTATGTACTTTAACATAACCATTACTCATGCCATCTCTCAACATTGCAGAAGCAAGAAAAATACAAAGACAGTGAGCCCACTGCAATTGATCTCTTTAAGGAGTTGCATTGTAGCAAAACTAAAGGTTTTAGTGAACCTGTGAAGAAAGCTATAGTAAGTACTAAGCTATTACCTCTTCTTTCCTTCTTTTATTAAATACCTTATGCAATGAACCTTTATTTATATAATAATGCAAAACTGAAACTACTTTGATTGCTAGGAGGATATGCATACCTGGGAAGCCCTCACTTCACCATCAGTAGAAGATGGGCAGCAAGCTAAGACTTCTATTGAAGCTGTTTCCAAAGTGTTGCCGAAGTCAAACACATTTTTGCGCAACGTCGGAATTCAGCAGCCCGCTGCCAAGACAACCAATGTGATGAAAGAGATACAAGCTGAACTAGATGCAAAGAAGCTAGAGTCTGCAGTACTTTCAGGAGGAGCTTGAAAGATTGAAGGCGCAGGCACAAGAATCTGATGCGAAAGTGGAAAAACAAGCTGAGGAGATTGAGAGCCTGAGGAAGATGGCAGCAGATACTCAGAGCCTCCTTCGACAAATGATAGCATTTGGACAGGGTCAGATCAGTCCTCCCTAAGCTAGTTGTATGCTCAGGTACAAAGCTTTAACTTGTCTCTTGTGCACTTGTATCCTCAGGTACTGTTTCATTGGTGGCTGAATTTTTTGTTCATGGTGTGTATCAAAATTGCCTATTACTCTGCCTATTTCAATTTACTTGCTGGATTGTTTATAGTTGTTGTTACTGTGAAATTAGATATTGTTTAGTGTGACTGGAAAAGAGTCATTTGATTAATTGATCTAGATACTCTATTTTTTCTGGATTATTAGCTGCAAAAGAGCCATTTGTTTGGATTTAGTTGTGAGTAGAAAAGATCCATTTGTTTGGACTTGCCGGAAAAGAGGCATATCAAGATACTTATTACTCAATTTACTTGCTGGATTATTACTCTTTAAACACTGTTTATTCATTTGTTTGCCTCCAAGTCCAAACAAAATGGACTTTTTATTCACCAGCAACTGAAAACATGCACCTTTTGATGGCAGGAATGAGGTGGATGAGCTTGGAATTTGATGGCTGGTGTTAGTGTAGTTGAACTTGGTGGTGTATGTGGCTGCTATTGTATGGTGTATGTTGCTGCTAGAACTTGGTGCTAGCTGCTGGTTGCTTGCAAGTTGGCGCTTTTGGTGGCCGGAGTTTTTTTTTTCGTTGGTTGCTGGAACATAGGATTTTTTGGCACTAGTTGTTGGCTGCTGCAGGATGCAGTCCAGAAGTGTAGTGGGTGCTTGGTGGAATTTTTTTGCTGGCTATTGGCAAGATGCAGGCTGAGACTTAGTAGTGGCTGCTAGGTGGAATTTTTTGGTGCCGGAACTTGGCACTACCTGTAGTAACTTTGGTAGTCGGCTGGGACTTGTGTAGTTCAATGGTGGATGGATCATTTTGTATTCATGTTCTGTGCTTTTGTATGGAACATGTTGGAAACTATATTCTGGAACTTGCTTTTGTATGGGCTGGAAAATTAATTATGGCTGGAATGTGATTATAATATAATTATGCAAATGGTTATGGTTTATATTTTGTGATTGCTTTTTAATTGGGCTAGCCCATAGTATGGGCTAGAATTGTACTATTGGGCTATAATGAAAAAAATGTAAAAGCAAATTTGTAGTTGGGTCAAAAAATATATGGGCCAATTGGGCTGATTGTAATTGAAAATAAAAAAGCCCATGCTATATGGGCCGAATGTGAATTGGCACGTCATTTGCCACATCACCTGCCTTGTCATCTGCAACATCACATGTCATCATACGCGTGGGTTCAATTTGTTATGACGAATTTGTCTCGTCATTCATCAATGGCAGGAGAACTTTCGTCATTGTATCAATGACGATGTCCTCTGGTGGTCACAGAAGCTGGTTAGTGACTCACCTTTTGTGATGACAGCCATTTCGTCACTGCAGGCAGGCAGTGACAGGAAACAGGCTGTTATCATCATAATGTAATCGTCACAGAAGCCCAGAACTCCTGTAGTGGATGCAAATTAACTCACTCGTGAGGGGTGGCTTGATCTTCACGACAGTAGGATTGAAGCAAGTGGCACCGGCATAAACCGTGACCTCGAGGATAACTTGTTTGCGAGCAGCAAAATGATAACTAGTTTTACACGTGCCAAAGTTGGATGCAACCAAGTGGTGATGGTGAGAATGATCTAAAGCCTCCTGGACTATGACCCGTCAAACCGAGCAATCACAAAACCATAATCTAGGATTAATCTACACAAGAGATCCGAAAGCCAAAAGCACGAATTAGGGGGCACCAAAGGAGCCTTCTCACAAGTTCTAAGAAACTCACAATTACAAAGGAGGTAAGGCACTTATGAAGTCTTTAGCAATCTCTCATACATGAGATTTTCAATTGAATAAAAGTTCTCTTGTGGATATAATGGAGGGGTATTTGCACTAGGAACAACCCTCCTAGCTTAGCGTGAACATAAGAAGTCATGTTCTGGTGGTCAAGGCTAACATAAATGAGAATGCTCAGAGTTTTCTCGGGTTCGTGCACAACCCTTCAGCTCTCACGTAGCCTTCAGTAAAATAGTCCAACTCCTCATTGGAAAATGCTATCAAGGTGGGGTTTATTGCATTGGAAACTAGACTTGGTCCTCTTTCCAACCATGTATGCCATGCACCCCATCTCTTTGATTGGCTAGGCTACACAAGCCTTGGAAGTTGACTTGTTGCAGCGTAAATTATCTTCTCGTTGGCGTAAATAGCTGCTGGTAGTATATGAGTTGATTCCTACTCGGCGTAACCCTTGTCGTCCTCGATGTAACTCATCTTTCTTGGTGTAGTGATCATGTCTTCGGTTGTAAACCTTAGCAATACAAAGTAGAGCATTTAGATAGTATAAAATTCTCACTAATATTTGGGTTAAGTTGAGCAAAGAGTGAGTTCATCTCTTGTTGTATTTTCCTAGTACGAATGCGCGTAATTGGACAATGGAATGCATGATCATTCTTGCTGAGAAATAATCTTTCAACTTGGTTTACGCTATCTTTATTTTCATCATGTGATGTACGACGTAAATTATCACCCTTGTTTACGTCATGTTGATGTACGTGTGTAGCTAGGATGTCCTCATCAAGGGAGGCGATTAAATCAGGAGCAACAGAGGCAAAATAGACTTATTTCTCATGTTTAACACATTTGTAGGCCTCCTAGTACACGATCGATCACATTCTCGCAGCCCGCAAGATCATCGACATCCATGTCCTGAACCGTCCAGCACACCCACATCTTTGAGCAGGCCAACCAACGGGCGCTCCCCCTATGGATCTTTTTATTTTTGGTACGCTTGCATGTGATGCTCCATTACCGCATAGTTATATCTGAATAGCACTTATAGATTAGCATCTTGTGTAATTACATCAGAATTTCTTCTCGGAATAGATAAAAAAGTTCACTGTTTACCAAATTATAAAATCTACTCGGTAATATTCCTAGATGAATAAAAAATTCCACTTAGAAACTTTCTAGTACATAATTAAAAAAAATCTACTTAAAAACTTTATACACATAATTTTTTTTTACAGAAACTTTACACGTATAAACTTTATGTATAAAAACTTTATATAAATAAACTTTACATACAAACATTTCGACATGTAAAATTTTTGCATACGAATTTTTGATATGGTGTTGATTAATATGAAATATATGTTAAAATATGAAATAAATGTTCAATATATTAATATTGGACCTAAAATCAGCCCATTAAATAGTACAAAGCCATTGCTCTAGCAAGAAGCGCTAACACACCCACATGTCTACCCAAATTCGAAGGAAAAGCAAAAGCTGCTCAAAACAGAAAAGTATCAGCTAGAGAGGAAGGAGGCACAATGGTTTCTCAGAAGTGACAATGGTTTAAATATTTTGTAGAGGCTTTCTCAGAAGTGTTAACTGGAATAATTTTTGAAGGTTTGATGGCCTTTATACATCATTTTTCCTGAATTGAGTGATTGATCATTAGCTATTCATCTACCACTTATCTTTTTATCGTGAGAAATGTCTACAGACACTTATAAAAAAGAATATATATGTCATAACATTGTATGTCTACAAACGCTAAAAAATGTTTCAACACGGAGGGAATAATTTCTAAAGTGTCAAACCTGAAAATTATACACTGGTGCCTGGTGGGCATACTTACGACTGCAAAACGATAAAAACAAGTAGTACTAAATTAGGCACAAAAGTGCATGTAATTTATCCAGGAAAATAAAAGTAAAAGAAATGGTGTAGTGAATTTATACTAAAGTTTGAGCTACTAATTGTGTAAGCTTAGGCTACACACATTGCGCCAGTCTAGGTGACTAGCAACTAAGAAAAATCGCACAACTTATAGATAAACAGATCGAAAAAGTAAACAATTTAATACATATTAAATTAATGGCACATTAGATTAACTGGAACTTCTGCACACTGATACTTATGATCTCTTGTGATGGTTTAGTTTCCCAAAGATGCTGTCACAAAAGAACAAGCTAAGTGATTTGATCATGCATGCATACATATCTAGAGAGAGGCATGCATGCAGACTAACTCCCTAGAAGACAATAACCAAGCATTAAGCAAGCATGACCATGACATATATATCTATGTACTGAGATAAAACTACTGGGTAGAGAGATGGACAAGAGGTTAAAATTAATTAACAATCTTATTGCTGTCATTTTGCATGGTGCAGTGTGCAGTTTTTGGAAGGCACTTGGGGTGTGGGTGTGTGTGGTGGGGGGGGGGGGGGGGGACAAAGTACTTGAAAGATCTCACTCCAATGCCCTGATCGACATGGTCAGATCCAAAGTACTCTGCCCCAGATCACCGGCCTCCTCCTCACTGCTTCCTATTGTTGTCTTTTCCTGCTTCTGCTTCTGCTGCTCCATGGACAAATCCATGGAGGAGAAGTTCGCCGCTGCTGCTGCTGCTGCCGGCGGCGAGAGCGAGAGCGAGATGGACAGCTTGTTCTTGCAGCGATCCATATTCTTCTCTGCTTCTTGCTCGCCTGAAATGGCGGCGGTGGTGTTCGTCGTCGTCGTTGACGTCTTGCTCCTCTTGGCCCCGCCGCCGTCTGCGGCCGCGGGGGCGGTCGTCGGAGACAAGGTGAGCTGCAGGTCCGGTGGTGACCACTCCGGTGGCCGCTTGCCGGCCGGTGTGGTCGTCGTCGTCGGAGTCATCCTTGGTTGTTCTACATGCTTCTGCTGATGCTGAACCACACATGCAATGTCGTGATAAAAAAAAAGTTAGTTAGTTTACGTTGTCAAATGGGCGCGCGTGTCAGATAGAGATTCAGAAATGACTCGATGCTTGTCATTCTCTGTTCCAAAATAATAATAAATTGAACATTGAGTATTGAGTATATGAAATTTATGAAATGTCTAATTTATTTTTAGACTGCTATATTTTGGAATAAACGGAGTACAGCGTTCGTCGACGTGGAGAATGATAAGATGATATGCATGGATAAATACGAATGGGGGGCATGCACGAACCTCGAGGCGGCGGGAATCTAGGGCTTCATCGATCACCACGGGATCCGACGACGACCTGTTCTTATTACCGCCGCCGCCGCCGCCGCCGCCGGCGTGCCATCCAAACGGAAGACGATGGTGATCACGTCCCGGCGGCGCCACGGCCGCCGCAAACATCGGCGGCGGCGCCGCCATGGCGGCCCTCGTGATGAGCGGCAGAGACGTCGACGACGCGCCACCGTTCCCGGTGTAGTAGCCGAATCTCTCCGCTAGTCTTTGTCGCTCGCCGGCGACGACGGCGACCGCGCCGGCGGCTGAAGGCCACCGCCTGATCGCCGCGGTGGTCGACGACGACGACGACGGATTCATCGTCTCCTTCCGCTGGTGGTTGAAGCTGAACGACCACTCTTGGTTCCTTCAGATTCAGAGACCACACACACTCGCAGAAATTAGGGTTTCGTACGTCTCGGCAGAGAAGATACGAACTTAGCTAAGGCACTTTGATTACCTGAAACTGCTGTTCTTGAAGTCTAATGTTTGCATCGTCGCTATCGCCGGAGACTGCCGGTGTTGGAGGAGTCCGTACAGCCGGCTGGCCTCCGGCGGTAGGCCGCCGCCGCCGCCGCCGCTTCTCGAGGAGAAGAAACCGCCGTGCTCCTGCCTGGAGGAGGAGAGCGCGGCGGCTCGCTGGAGGAGCATGTCGTGGAAGCGTCGATCGCCTCTCATCAGATGGAAATCCATTGGAGAGAACACTGCAAAACCACATGAGAAGCAAAAAATTAATCATGAAAAAAAATGTACAACCTCTTGAGAAAAAGATGAGAGTAATGAAATAAATTGATGTGCAGAGATGTGGAGAGAATTGGTGTGTGCATGCATGATGATTGAAAGTTATTAAACCTGAGGCGATGGCTCCTCTGATCTGGCGACCCTCGTGATCCAACTTCTTGCTTCTATACATCTGAAACAAAATTAATGGATCAAAAATTAGTTGGAAACTTGGAATCCATGCATGCTAATTAATCCATGAGAATTAATGGAATTGCGAATATACGAGGTAGATATCGACTACGAATTAAGAATCTAGCTCTTTAACTTGTAGAAATTCTAGAGCACTTTAGAGCATCATTTACCTGCAAGTGGCTTTTTACATGAGCAATGCTGAGCCCCCTAACATTCATCATCTGAAGCACCAACTTAGGAGTTGCTCCTACATCAACACATGCAAATCATCGGTGAGAAAACAATAAAAGCACAACAAGAAATTGGAGTTTAGGACTCAGAAGAAAAGCAAATAATCCATAATTGCAAGAGATGCAGGCAGCTACACACATACATATATACCATGTGATAAAAGTTCTAGCAGTTTCTGCTATGTTAATATGAAACATCGCACTATCTGGTGTTGCTCGTTTCAAAAGAAAAAGAAGATGAAGTTTTTAGGCTACTTACTCTCTTGGCCACCGAGCCTCTCAACGGCATGGACAAAGGCCATGTGGAGGTCCGGTGTCCACCGGAGCCGAGGCAGCTTCGACCGGTTGTACTGCCGCACCGATGGCACCCTCTGCTCTCCGCCGTTGATCCCCTCCAACCTGCCGCCACCGCTATCCTTGTCGCCCTTCAATTTGCTCTCTGAAACGTTATTGGTGCTGCTGTTGTTGCTGGAGCTCCTGCTTCCGGCAACATCGGTGGTGCTACCACCATCATCGTCGTCGTCGTCATCCTCCTCATCTTCGTCATCTTCATCATCGCCGACTTCTCCCTCCTCGCTCTCGACATCCATAACTTCCTCGTTGAGGTCCAGCTGATTTCTACCAATCGATCTCTTCAGCTCATCATCCTCAACAATCTCAACTAGCACTTCCTTCTCCTTCATCTCTCTCAGGCTGATGCTGATCAGCCTTCTCTAGGTAGCTATCTACCTCTCAAGCATCTTACCAAATCTTCTACTTGATCTCTTTCGATCTACACTGCCATGGCTGGATCGGAATCGTACGCGCGTGCAGGTGGAATAGCTAGGAAAGGGGAAGGAAGAAGGGGATGAAATGAGGGAAGCAATGATATGTAGTAGTACTGGTGGAGAGATGGGGAAGAAGCATAAGCAAGCTAGCTACTGGCTAATGATGTGTTAATAAAATAAGAGGGAATTGGACAAGCATTCTCCTCCTACATTGACTGGTTTTGAAACACTGTTCCAAGCTAGAAATTATATCTCTATCCTCAATATAATCCTGACCCTGTCCTTGTGTTTGGTATGCACACCTATGCAAAGGACACACACACATATATATACACACACACAAACAGAGAGAGAAGCTAAGCTAGCTAGAGAGAGGGAAACTACACATCAGGTTAAAGCAGATTACAACAGCCAAAAAGGCTACAAATTAATTAACTTAGTAGCTAAAGACAAGAGCTTTTGGTGAAGGTGACCATGGACTAAATGGTGGAAGCATACTTTACATAGCAGCAGTGAGATCCTTTTCTTGGTTTTTTTTGCTTTCCTATTAGGTTTTGCATGCATCCATGCACGAGTGAGTGTGAGCTGAGCTGAGCAGCTGAGCTAGCCTCTGGTTAGTTCATGTGACCCAATCTGCCAATCTGGCTGGATTCCAAAAGCATTTCTTTGCCCTAATAGTTTTCTCGCTTGGGACACTGACCCCCTTGTCGTGTGGATCTGAGCTGCACTCCGTGACACAAAAACAAAGCGTTTGGTGGTTGACCTCTGCCTGCCTGTGCCTGTGCATCTGCATGCTCCCTTTGACAGGCTTGTTTAAACAGCTATTAGCTAGCTAAAAAGGAACAAATGTTTGACAGGTCCATGTGTATTTATTTCATTCCGGATATGAACATATATATATCCTACGTACGTATATACTCTCAGACTGCAGATGTTCTCTTCTAGTCACTGTCCTAGCTCAGGTGGATGTCTGGTTACACCACAATATATAGTTTGCATAAATGTCTCCTTTAAACAATATTTAGATGTGTGCGCAATATTAAAAAAAACATTTATTACCTCCATATACTTTATTAGGTTTTGGTGTGTAACTTTGACCTCTGTTTTTCTTTTAGAATATAACAATAACATCAAACAAAATTGTAATATTGTAAAAGTGCTTATATTTTTTTAAAAGGAAAATATGTACATATGGTTTCTTTGTCTTCAAACTAAATATTGAGAGCTATTAATTTGAAGGGCAGAGCTTTAAAAGCTTGAACAAATAAAGTCAACAATTAATACCATAGATTTAAATACGAAACAAGCATAGCACACAGGGAAACCATGGATAAGGATTACACATGAGTGCATCCCGATGCGGTCGGGCAAACTATAGGTCCTCCTCGTTTCTTACTGTAAAGAGAAATTAAATTTTACAGTGTACCAAGAGGTACCAATTTCTAGTACAAATTACCTAGCTTCTAGTATAACAGGTACTGAGAGATACCAAATTTTACACGATAAAATATAGTACCTCTCGGTACCTCCTGACTTTAAAATCACTCCACTGTAAATCATGCTCAGAGTACCCGAAATTTATAAAAGAACCACGGTTGGGACCGGGCAAAAGATATATATGTAGGCCTGGATATAATTCTGCATGTATATATATAAATCACACTCAACAACCAACCATCTGTTATTCTGTAGATCCAACTTATCCATCATACATTCCAACCATGGGTAATCAACTAGTAAACATCAAAATTAAACCTAAACAGCAGCCAGACCCCTTTTGGTCAAATTGGTTGGTTGTTTATGGTTCAGGGGGACGCATGCAAAAAAGGGGGCCTCTTGCTTCCTCCTCATATGCGTAGTGTGTGCTTTCCGATCGAAATTAAAAGGGGACGAACGATCACACGAATGGGCCGGCAGAATGTGGTTGCGTCGTCACGGAATTCATGGGATCGATTTGCATATGCCCTATCTGCTTTCTCCTACATAGGTGGAAATTTGAAAAAAAAAAGTTTAATTTGCTGCTGATTTGTGTGACAACACAACAAACGAGCTCGATCGATTTAATTGTTGCATCATTACACACATATGCATGGCCGCATGTGTAGTGTAAAGTGTTATCTCAGCTCATCACCTTCTGATGATTAGTTAGTCGTTTCTGCTGTCTTTTCTAGCTCTACGCGGAGAAACTGTTGGTCAGTACTTGGGCAAGCAACAAGCAAATTAATAAAGGCATATTTACGTTGCGCATGGACTTAAATTGATTAAAGGGGTGAGAAAAGAAGTCTAGATAGCTAGCAGTGATGTTTTTAGTTAAAAAATAAACTAAACGAGAAATGCTAAAGAAAAAAAAAGAACAGCCTTGCTTATTGTATCTACTGTATATTATATTCAGAGCAAGGTAAAAAAAAAAAAGAACAACCACGTTCACTACGGAGGTTTATAAATTACCGTTTTAACCGGAGAAAAAAATTGCACCAGGTGGTTGTGGTGGATCTAGATTATATATGATGTAGCTAGATTGATTGATATATATATAGATGTATACAAAATGCAACCGTATCTATAGTACGTATGAAACTTTTTTCAAATGTATTAGTATACAAATGACGACAATTGTATCTATGTGATAGAAGTCTTTTTTTTAAAAAAAATGTATACAAATTATTGCAATTGTACTTATATATGGAAATAGAAACTAAGAATTATATGGAAATCCAATTCTACTTAAAATCTTGCATCGTGCAAAATTGCGTAGGAAAATCCACTAGCTAAATGCCAAATTAACCAGTAGAAGATGGAAAGAAAAACATTTCCCCTGAACGACAACTTATGATGAATTTACACTATACACATGTAGAGATCAATCTGATGTTTGATATATCTACGGCCAAGTCACTAAAAAATTAAAATAAGCAATGAAAAGACAATATTTTTTTTACATTTATGTTCTTAGTGGATTAAATGGCAGTACTGCTGTACTGGAAAATAAACTATAATAAAAAACTTAAAATAAAAAAAAATAAATTTTGGTTGTGACTGATAATACAACGAACAAACGATGAAATTAAGAGGCCAAGCTAGCAACTGTTTGCTAATATAGCTAACCATTATTTCGATTAAATTATTTTTCTTAATTAATTAAGTACATACATGCATGCGGCATATTCTGGAGTTGTTGGCATACAATGCCCTGCATGCCCCGCAAGTGCTCCAGCACTGTAGTACCAGGTTTCTATATATACCTTCAAAATATAATATGTACACATAGCACAGACTATATATATTTACATTACATATCATTGCATGAATGCAATTAATTAACATTTCCTTATATATACATATACATATACATATATGTTTAGGTTTTATTTTAATTTCCGTAGAATTAATTGTCTATGGAGTTAGATCAGCCTTCTCTCTAGATTTTAGTTCAAGCTCAACAACTCCATCCCAACAGTTGATACTATATATATTTATATGCACATGAATTTATAAATTAATCATGGATCTCGATCTCTGAACAACCTTCAATTCAGATCGGAATAATGAAACCATGAGCATGTCTTTGGTCCTCGAATCGCTAAAATGAATCACCGTGAGGACGATTCATCAGCAGATGTTAGGTGAAATTGTCCAATTACTTTAAAACACTTCATATACCGTTTAGTCGCGATATACAACTTGGAATGATTCCTTTGATAAGGATCTCACTGAGCTCCGACTCATTCCAAATCAAATCGATTTAAGTGTAGCAGGTATTTACGTTTGTCCGTGTCAATCAAGTTGTTGACCAGCAATATCCACTGGGACTAATCAACATATATAAAAAACCACCATTCCATTTCTACTTATACGGAAGTTTAACTAATAATAATTCGCGTGCCAGACTCTCCATTTGTGACTACTATGCTGTTAGATTTGGACACTCATATGAAAAAAAAAAACTTAATGATATTTTTTTTAACTCGGTACCTCTAATGCAAGATGGTAAAACAAGCCCAATGAAATAAACAGAGAGGGTTTTATTGAGGTAGTGTTTTATTTGCAGACAGGGCGATACGAAACAGTATAACCAATTTACCATCACCTTTGGTAAAGCTCTAACTCCTAAATTTAGCTCCAGGAGTTTGGTTTGGAGTAGAGTTATAGAGCAGCTTAAACCCGGCTCCACCTACCTCCACTCCTATTTTAGGTGGAGCTGAAACTGAAACTGTTTGGCAAAGCTTTAGCTCCAGGAGAGGTGGAGTTGTGACAAACAAACCCATATGGAACGTATAGTTTGGCGACAGAAATGAGCTGCTCTAGAAAATCCATGACCTAGCTAGTAGTAGCTTATAAGACCAGACAAGAACCCTAGCTAGACCTATAGAAAACGCACACCAAAAAGTTTCATTTTTTCCCCATGCCATCCCTTTCCCAGCGTCCAAATAATTACTTTTCCGGAATCTCTGATGACCATAGCTGAATGAGAATTTGGGACGGCATGTCGTGTCATGTGACGAGAGCGAAACATTTCTACCCGGGACACTACAAAGTTTTAATTTCTTCTTTAGTAATCTCCCTATAGACGCATTAGAAAGGAAGGAGAGAAAATAATTAATTAATTGGCCATCCAATGTGATGCATGATTCTGGCTAGCCTGTGAGCAACAAGATGATTAATCTGGAATATTTTTAAAACCATACGGATGGGCCTAGGGAGGGGACAAGGTCAACTTTGATCAGGGGAATCATCCACAGGATGTCAGGATTAGGTAGTAGTGATGGGGTAGCTTAATTTGCAGCTTGTTGCTAATCTTTTACTTTTGTGTGTAGTACTAGTTTGGATGCCTTCTCAGTTCTCTCTTGGGGATGGATTTTGTGTGTCTTCTTGTAGTCTTTTGTCGACATGGGTAGAGAAATTCCAAGCTCGTGGATTGAGCCTGCTGACCCCTAGCTAGTACTGTCAGAGCTAGCAAGTGAAAGAAATGTGTAACTAAACTCAGGGAAAGGTTAAGGACCTAGTATGTTTTATGTGTGTTGTCCACATAGTTAGAAAAAAAAATCTGAAAAATACTTCATAACATAGATTATATGGCCCCTTATTCACTTAAAAAGAACATGTGAGACTATAAGAATTCAATCTACGGAGAAAAAGAATCTGGTTGTGTCTTATGAGCAACTCTATATATACAATGGCGAATCATCTCTTTATTTTCTGCAGAAAAAGTATTTTTCCCTCCGTCTCAAAATAGTTTTCTTGTTAGATTGTTTAGTATAGATTAAGATTTGAGAAAAAGAGATAGCAATGTCCCTTACTAAATGATTTATAGTTGGGAGTGAGACCGCGAGAGGATGGTTGGGGGAGTATGTCAAATTTGAGTAGAATGTTAGTAATTCTCTTATTTAAATTCAAAATTTGAAACTTCCTGCCCTCGCTCCTAGCTCACCATACAACAAGACCAAATTTCTCCCAATTTTGTGTTACTACAAAATTTGTCTTTTTGTGAACTGCAACACATGGTATAGATTTAACCTACCACTCCACAGGAGTCATACCTCCTTCAAAACGTGGGAATTTTCTTGAGAATGATTCCTGTAAATGTCTTATAAAACAGATCTACTCCATGCCATTTAGTTTCATTAGTTTAATGATTTACCATCGACTTTGTTTCTTTCTATAATATGCTTCAAGTTTATCATTCATTTCTATAATATGCCATTAAGTCGTAGCGTTGGCACATGCATATTACTAGTATATATAAGAGTTGACAATTGATTGACCCCACTACATGATTCAAAAAGTTTTGAAAACTTTTGTCTAGCCTCTTAGCACGTCATAGAAGTTTGTATAAGTTTCACAATTTTTGCGTTACTATTTATTTTATAAAACATTATTTGTTTGTTATATGTTAATACTTTTGCTGTTGTTCCTTTTTAATGTAAATCATCTTTAATATGCTACACAAAATAGTTTTGTGCTATTATATATCTTTAATTTGTTGTAAGCGATTCCTTTCTCATATGCCACAAAAGATATCTTGTAGAAAACATGAATGACATCATGAAACATAAAAACTTCAATGTTGTGTAAGGAGGTTAAGAAAACCATAAGTTTTTGAAACTTCTAATAGAATAAATTAATTCTCAATCTTATAGATCTATAAGGATGTTTTGGGTATTATGGAAAACTATCCATCTCAATGGCATATTAAAATTGTTGAAAATTCAGTGGCATTATAGAAAGAGATAGTATGAATGGCACACCATTGAGCCGGTACAAACTTACTAGAAAAAAATCATTTTACTCCCCAAAACTTTCAAAATATTTTCAGTTTTTTCCATGACTTTGCTTGAAAACCTCAATGTTTAAATCAGTCTCATCGCTTCGAACCTATATAAATGGTGCTAAAAAGTGTAAAAATATTCAAAGATAAGTTATAATGCATCTATCAATAGTACCAAATTTCATTGCAAAATATGACTTATATACAAGTTTGGAAATTTTGGACCGCTCCGATATGATATTATTTCGTCCGAAATTTTTCAATTTTTTTTAATTTTTTGTGAATTTTGGTAATATTTGCTCAAATTTAACTAAATTTTGTTCAAAATTTCGGACTGAAATTTCGAGGTATCGGTGACCTCCGATCAAATCGGCTAAACCGAAGAAGTAAACCCTGCTTATATATAGAGAAAAAAAAGAGAAAAAAAGAGAGAAATATCATTAGGGAGCAAACTAAACCATTTTAAATAGTTGGGGGGGGGGTGTAAAATAAGCCGACAAATACTTTTGGGGTGGGGGGGGGGGTTAAGCCATCTAATGAAATAGTTCGCGAGAATAAAATGAATTTTTTTCTTAGTGGGTATTGGAAGAAATATTCTCCATGTAAAATGGTTTGCGGTTCGATCGTAGGAGGACTAATCCGGGCTAAATGAAGCCCATGGTCTGGATGCCTCCTCACGGATCTTAATTCAGTCGACGGTCCAGATAATTCGCGGCCCACCTAGAGCAAATAGCTGACCTAGATGGGCTGAATTCGGCCCAAAATCGTCGCAAAAACCGTGCTCTTCGAAGGAGCCTCCACCAGCAAACTTTGTGGGCTGGAATCTGAAGAGGCCCATGTCATATAGTAATTAGCCTAGTAACCCGTCATGATTAAGCCAGATTAATCGCTAACCTCCACAGCTAAGCAAGCAAGTAGCCAGCCCAAGTATAGTAGTGTACTAACCGCGTGTGCTACAGTAATCCATGTTGCGGTCAGGTCCCCATGATTAAAATTGATTAAGCCGTCGTCTCCCTCGTCTCCGCCCACTGCTCCACCACACACACATCCCTCCCCCCCCCCCCCTCCTCCGCCTACGCCCATGCCGCCCATGCTCCACGCCATCCTCCTCCTCGCCGTCGCCGTCGCCGCCACCTCGGCGTCCGCGGCGACGGCGCCTGCGGCCGCGCGAAACAGCACCTCCAACTGCACCGTGCCGCTCCCTGACGCCGGCATCGTCACCGCCGCGTTCAAGAACGTCGCCAACTTCCCCCTGCCGCGGCGGCCGTCGTGCCGGCCCGTGCGGAGGCTCGCGTACTCGTCGCGGAACCTCGCCGGCGTCGTCGGGTGGGCGGCGCTGGGGAACCTGTCCGGGCTGCTCACCGTCGACCTCTCCGGGAACTCCCTCGAGGGCGACGACGGCTTCGGCGGCGGCGCGCTCTGGCGCGCGCCGCTGCTCCGGGCCGTCGACGTGTCGCGCAACCGGCTCGGCGGCGCGCTGCGGCTCGGGGCGAGCGCGCGGATGGCGTCGCTCAACGCGTCCCGCAACGGGTTCACCTCCGTCGTCGGCGTCGACGGGCTCGCCGCCGGCCTGGTGGTTCTCGACGTGTCCGGGAACAGGATCGCCGCCGTGCCGGAGGGGTTGCGGCGGCTGACGCGGGTTCGGCGGCTCGACATGTCGCAGAACTCGATGGCCGGGAAGTTCCCCGACGACCTACCACCGCTCGACGGCGTAGAGTTCTTGGACATATCGGATAACAACTTCTCCGGCGTCGTGAACTCCACCTGGGTCACCAAGTTCGGCCGCTCCGCCTTCCTCAGAGCCGGCAATGCGACGTCACTAGTGATCGAGGACAACCCGCCGGCGTCGGCTCCGGCTCCGGCGCCGGCGACGATGACGCCGTCCAGTGGCGGGAAGAAGCACAAGCGTGTCGTTCTCATCGTCGTCGTCGTGGTCTGCGGCGTGGTGGCCGTGTCCGCCGCGGTGGCGTTCATGGCACTGGCAGGGTGCGTGGCGTGTGGCTTCAGCCGCCGGAGGAAGAGAGGGAAGAAGGCGGCGGCGGCGTGGGAGGACGACGAGGTCGCCGTGGGCGCGGTGAAGGTGGCGGCCACCGCGCCGGTGGTGCTGGTCGAGCGGCCGCTGATGGAGCTGACGCTGGCCGACCTCGCCGCGGCGACGTCGGGGTTCGGGCGCGAGTCGCAGCTCGCCGACGTCGGCGGCCGCAGCGGCGCCGCGTACCGCGCCGTGCTCCCGGGGGACCTGCACGTCGTCGTGCGCGTCGTCGATGGCGCGGTGGCCGGGGTCGGCGGCGACGACGGCGACGTCGCGGCGGCGGCTGCCGGGCTCCGGGAACTTGCAAGGCTCAGGCACCCAAACATTCTTCCGCTCCTTGGCTATTGCATTGCAGGTCAGCCAATTTGCTTGAAAAAAAATATAACTAATTTGTTTTTAGATAATGACTTGAGAAATAATACTCATGTTTTCCACTAAAATTTGTCTTGTTCTTTGACTAGAATGTGTAGTCTAGACAAAATTCCAAAAGCATATCTTTCAGTGTATGATAGAGTGGCAAAAACAAATTTGAAAATGGCTTCATGCTGAAAACTGATAGCTGATCTAACTGCACTTCTTCTATTCTTTTGCTAAAAAATCATTCGGTTTTTACATTGTATTATAGTATATAACTACGAATAGAATAACAATTAAATTCCTTTGCTTTCACGTAAAACAATTTAATTTATGTGGATTTGAACAGTATGTTTCAACGAAAATCCTTTGAAATTCACACATTTTTACATCGCAATATATTATATAAAGTATGGATAGAATAACAATTGAACTCCTTGGTTTCATGAATTTGAAATTCAAATTTTGCATCATTTGAGCAGGAAAGGAGAAACTCCTCCTATACGAGTACATAGAGAAGGGCAACCTCTACCGGTGGCTCCACGAGCTACCGGCAAGTAGTATGGACATGGAAGAAACCGGTGCTGATATGTGGGACACCACGGAGCAGGACAAGAAATCCATAGATGATTGGCCTACCCGGTACCACATCATACTAGGAATCGCACGAGGGCTCGCGTTCTTGCACCAGGGATGGGCAGGATCATCGGGACGTCCAATTGTGCACGGCAATCTGGTCCCAACCAACATCCTCCTCGACGATGACCTAGAGCCTAGGATATCGGACTACATACACCCCGTGGATAGTAACAATGGAGAGCTGACCCCAGAGAGTGACGTGTACAGCTTTGGCGTGCTGGTGTTCGAGCTTGTGACAGGACAGGTGAGATGGGATGATTCGACGGTGAGCTGGGCCCGAGGTGTGATCCGGAACCGAAAGAGCCTCAACATCGTCGACGCGAGGCTAAGAGAGGAAGAGGAGGAGGGCGGCACCAGTGGAGCAGCAAAGACAACGATGACGGTGGCGGAGCGGGAGATGGTGGAGTGCCTGCAGGTGGGGTTCCTCTGCACGGCGCACTCGCCGGAGAAGAGGCCTTCGATGCAGCAGGTAGTGGGGGTGCTCAAGGACATCAGGCCGGCGCCTCCTCCTCCCGCTGGAGGCGCCGGCGAGACGCCATGATGGAGACGACGATGACGGTGCACGCGAGAGAACACGCACAGTTTCTCCATCGTGGATAGCTGCATCATATCCAATCCAATCGATGTATCAAAATCCAGGAGGGGATTCGATCGGAGCCAGCCGGGAGAGGTGAGGTGATCTTTTGGTCAGTAAAATAAATAATGCTTTCGTTGGGTGGAGGAGTAATTTCTTGTCTTGTGCTTCGTTGCTGCTGGACTACTGGTAGTAGGAGATCGATCGCTTTATTGGTTGGTACAACAACTTTTGCGTAGTGATAGGAGTAGCCAGTAGCTAGAGTGTTGTTGTGGTGTACTTTGATCATGAGAGGGTTTCGTTTTGATTGCACAAAGCCTGCCATTTTGGCATCAACGAGAAATGGAGACAAGTTGGAAGTACAGCATGCAGCATCATTGTAGCCAACACGAGGAAGAAATCGATCATGATTAGTATCAGTGTGGTTTTTGATCCTCTTCTCTGGTTGCTTGAGTGGTTTGTTGAAAACGCAGTCAAAAGCTACTGTTGTCGCGTTAGTTTTGTTGAGTACTCTCCCGTCTCATATTTTAAGTGTAGTCTCCCGTTTTGTTCGACGATTGACCATCTGTCTTATTTAAAATATTTTTATGATTAGAATTTTTTTATTATTATTAGATAATAAATACTTGACTTATTATTATTTTTTATTTTTTATAATTTCTTAAATAAAATGGAAGGTCAAATGGTGAAAAAAGCTTTTGACTACACTTAAAAGTGAGACTGGAGTAGTATGTTGCGGTTTCCGGGGAGGAAAAGGATAGCTAGACAGGAATGCTGATTGAGAGGTTACATTATAGCTACACCTGGGGAGGATGCCATTTGCAGCTTTCTTTATCAGTCCAGCAAATTACCCAACAACATGGTTTTCCTGCTTTACGGTCCTGGGTCTAATCGGTTGAAATGGAGGGCAGTTAGAACAGGGTAGTTGTCCTTTTGTACTACTTGGGTACTGATTCTCAAATTTTTAATTATCACCAAACTATACCTCACAGTCAAACTTTGTTTGACGTCATAAATTTACAAATGTTTTATAATATAGCATATGCTGTGGATACAAGCTTCGAGTGCACACGTTATAACGCAAGTTACTTTTCCCTCTCTATGTGTACGATGAATTTGACGACAAGACTTTACATTATGTTCAATTTTTTTTCTGAAATTTTCAGTAATATCTATTAACTGATGTGCATGGTTTTGTAGAAGTGAAAACTTACGTGTATAAGATACGTTTTCTTCTTAGCTCTTAATATATTCTAAATAATCTATAATTACAATTATTTCGGGACGGAGATAGTAAGTTACTTATGTATTAACCAATTCAACTAAAACTTAAATAAATAAAAACGAAAGATTCACACCCTAACATACTATTAATTATAATATCACGCTGATGTAGACATACTACTTTATCGTTTTGGATAAGGGGACAGTCGCCAAAATAATTTGGATCACTATTTTTCTATTATAATATATGCACAAAATATCATAAATATATATTTTAAGATTAATCTATACATATTATCTCTATATTTTAAAAGTTATCCATGATTAAAATCAGATTTAAAAGTTTGGCATCAGACTTATCCAAAAACATTAAGTATTATCAACCTAGAGGTAGTATACTTCCAAGCGGAGTTGTCTGTCCTCCTCCCTCGCGCACAACATGCATTCTCACATAAAAAAGAAAATTCCCCGATAAAAACGGTTAGGTAAAAAAATTTATATGATTTATTCTTTATCCAATTATCGACATCCAACACATTTCCTAATAATATGAACCTAATGTAAGGGCATGTTACTTTTTTTAAAGGAAAAAACATAAGCTCATAGAAAATGCCGAAGCAGTTAATCCTATCGATCGATCTTAAAATAAGCTAACACGACCTTCTTGGTTCGTGCGCAAAAAAGATGGTCAAAACGGCGTCATGCCCATGCAGACTTGATCCGATTCTCACCGGCGTATCAAGATTAGTTAACACACAATATATGCTTAACCTCGAATATATACTTTGGACTTTCTTGTAACAGGAATTGAAGATGTCGATACACGTACAGCTTGCCTTTGTATATGTGAAAAGCTGACTATACAAAAAGCAGAGTGCACTTGCCTATTAGCGACGGCACAGGCAGCAAGTACGACTTGTGTATTGTATAAGCTGCTTTGCTTTCTCATAATTTCGACGAAGTAGTCTACTACGACCGTGTTCAATTAATCAGTGGATCGAGATTTGTTGCCCTGACTTGCATGGCAAATGCGATGGGCGCTATGGAGACAAACTGATGAGATGGTGATCGATATATATCTTCTTAATTTCACCAGGAACCAACCACACGCACAAACCTAGATGTCTAAATCAAGGAACTGGAAACCACATGATATACTGTACATGGTGTAGTATTTTCTCTTATAAGAATAAAACACAAGAAATTGTCTTCCCTATGTTTGCACAATGGCTTATTTGCAACACACAACTCCACTAGGAAATTGAAACAAAATTATTGTTTCATGTGCTACAACCACTAGACATATCTCAATTATTGACAACGTGGTTTTATATTTTATTGTTTTTAAGGAAAACACTGTAGAGTAAGCCCCAAATTATATAAGATAGATAATCTTCAACTATATAAGATATGTACATTTTGTGAACAATGTTACAAATCACTTTGTTGGATGTAAAAATGACCAAAATAAAAGATATAGATCTTGATGAGTTATACCACTTTGTTATTGATGACTTTTTCAGTTGAAATCATTTTGTATTTTAAAATGTTGTTTGAAGTTGTCATATTTTGAAATTCAAATTCAAACTGTTCAAACAAAGTCATATAAAAAAATGACCAATACAAAAGTCGTAGATCTTGATAAGTTATACAACTTTGTTGTTGACAACTTTTCTATTTGAAATCATTTACTATGTGAAAAAATTATTTGAATATCTTATATTATAAAGTTCAAATTTTATATAGTCCAATCAAATTTGGATGAAGAAATGACCAAAAGAAAATTGGTAGATCTCAACGAGTTCTACAACTTTGTTTTTGGCAACCTTTTTATATGAGTTGATTTAATATCATAAAATTTGATTCGAAGTTCTCATATTTTTAAATTAATTTTTAATAACTATTTTCGCATGCGGTCCACTTAAGGAGCCGCATGCGAAAATCTATGTATGCAAAAATACGACCCCAAATCTCTCTCCACTCTCTTTTCCCTCCCACCACTTCAAAATTTTTAACTCATCGTCTCTCTCTCCTCTATTTTTTACCCTCCCCCTCTCTCTCTCCTCTCCTCTCTTTCTTTTCTCCTCTCCCTCTCCCTCTCCGAGAGTGCCACCGGGCGGCGATGGCGTCGGCGGGCGGCGGATCCGGCGGCGCCGCCCTCGGGAGGACCGGATCCGCCGCCCTAGGGAGTGGCTGCGGCTACGGCGACGGCCGGCGCGCAGCGGGGGCGGCGGATCTGGCGAGTAGGCAGCCTCAGCGAGTGGGCGGCGTCGGCGAGTCGGCGACCTCGAGCCTTCCTTGACGGCGGCGGGAGCTGCGAGTGGGCAGCGGATCCGGCGAGTGGGCAGCCTCGATGACCTCGGGCCTTCCACGATGGCGGCGATACGGGCGGCGACGCGGGCGATGGGCGTATCCTCCCGCCCGAATCTAGCGGCGGGAGTGGTCGGCGACATGGTCGGTGGCGGCGGACCTCCTCCCGCCTGAATCTGGAGGTGGCAGGGGTGGCGGGCCGCAGCGGATCTGGAGGCGGCGGGGCTGCCTGGATCTGGAGGCGGCGGGGGTGGGGGTGGCGGGCGGCAGCGGGGGTGGCCGGCGGCGGAACCAGGGCGACCGGCGGCGGGAGCGGTCGATGACGATGTGGGCGGCGACGTGGTCGGCGGCGGCGGGCCTCAGGCCGCCCAGATCTGGAGGCGTGGGCGGGCGGCGGCGCAACTGGGCAGCTGGCCGGCGGGAGCGGCCGGCCAGCTAGGGTTTCCTTTTTTTTTGAATTTTATTTTTTTCGCGATTTTTTCTTTTTGCATGCGGTCGGGCAAAAGTCCTTTTCGCCCGCATGGAAAGACTGGGAGCACCACCTGTCCCGAGGCGCCACTGGTTTGACACACATCAGCACGCATATCTGGAGCTACTATGGCTCGCACTCGCACATGTACTGCCCGGACGACGACGTACACAGGCACAGCAGCTAGCTGCATATTATCTGCAGAAATTTCGTCGTCCCTGTCGCCATCGCTGGCGGTTTGGAAACATGTACAGCTCGTCGATCGTATCGTCGTACATACTGACTGTTCGTTTGCGCTTGGCCGGAGCCGGAGACTGTCCGTGCCGCGTCAACCACGCTAATTAACGGGCAAAACAAAAACGCCACCTTACGTACGTACCTGCTCCGATATTCCGACCTGTCGTCAACGAGAGACAGAGAGAGGAAGGACGACGAAGGGCGCATGTCCTGCTCGTCGCTCCTGTGCCGCGTCCGTCTCGTTGCGCCTTGTGCCCTTCCTCCTCAGGAATCCGGCCGGTGGCCCCCATTCCTATGCGTGATATTATCTAGTCCCACCTCCGTTTCAGATTATAAGACTTTCTAGTATTACTTACATTCATATAGATATTAATGAATATAGACACACATATATGTCTAGATTCATTAACATATATATGAATGTGGGCAATGCTAGAAAGTCTTATAATATGAAACAGAGGAAGTACTTTCTTTCTGCTCAAAATATATACTATTATCATATACATCGCAAAAAAAATAATATTATCATATTGTAATAAATAGACATAGAACCCAGTATCATAAATTTATGGTGTGTTTTGTTCATGGTTAAGATTAGGTAGGATATAACAATTCATATTTTTTGGGATATATGGTCCAATTTTTATTTGGTGAGTTGATATGGCTATCCAAATTTTTATAGAACGGATAGGAGGAAAATAATAAACTAGTAAGTAATAATAACATATGTTAATTATTATTAGTTTCACCATAAACTATACTAATTATATCTCCTTGACATTAATTTTGAAAAGTTATTACTAATTAAAAAAAATAATTGTCGCCAATTAATTACTAATGATCAAAATTAATATCCTCATTCGGTTAATTTGGCCGGATGCACTCATTCAACGTATTTTAGAATATTTCCTCTTCGAACCGTCCTATAGCTACCCTTGTTCACCAATCAAACACCTTCAAAAGTTGGATTGCTATCACCTATCTAGGGACATCTTTCCAACCAAACACATCTTTACATGAAAATGATATGTCTAGATTCATAGTGTTATATTGTAAGTTAGTATTAAGTTATTATATTTTAAAACACGGATAGTATATATGGAGTACATGTTGACTAGCACAGTGGTCATTCACTTTGGAAAAACACTTGCTTGTGATCTCTTGTCCTTTGTTCTCTGCCGTCATTCAGA